ATCTCCACCAAAGCACCTCTAACTGCGAAGGAAGGTAAAATGTAGAGTATGGGAACACAGCAGCAGTTGAAAACTTGTGTTTCTCCTCTGAAGGCCATGCCAATTTTGCCTTCTGCACAATTATACATCAATGTTTATATTCAGATTTTAAATGGAGTTTTCCCCCAAAAAAGCCTTCAAGTAAAATTGATCCACAGAGATGTGCTGAGTTTATTCAGTGGCTCTATGTAATTCCTACTCCCACCTTAGCAAATGACACGTAACCTAGGGTATCTGTGATAGGCAGCCCCTAAGATGGCCCCCTTTAACTTCATCTCTTGGTATTCATGCCCTTATGCAATCCCTCCCCTTGAGTGCAGGCTGGATTTAGTGACTTGCTTTTAGCAAACAGAATGAGGCAGAGAGAATGGTGTGTCACTTCCAGATTAGGTTACAAAAAGGCTGTGGCTTGTATCTGGGGGCTCTCTCTTGCTCACTTGCTCTGAGGGAAGCCAGCCGCCATGCTGTGAGCTGCCCCATGCAGAGGCCCACATGGCAAGGAACTGAGCACAGCCTCCAGCCAACAGTCAGCAAGGAACTGAAGCCCTCAGTCCAACACCCACGAGGAACTGAATCCTGCCAACAATCATGTGAGTGAGATTGGTAGTGGATCCTCCCTAGGTCCAGCAGACACCTGGACTACAACCTCAGGAGACACCTTGAGGCACCCATGGAAGCTGCTCCCAGATTCTTGACTCATAGAAACTGTGAGATAATAAACATTTCTTGTTTTAAGGTGCTACAGTTGGGGTAATCTCTTATGCAGCAATAGATAACGAAGACAGCATCCAAGTTTGAGAGGTCCAGTCCCGGATTATTTTAATGACCCCTACCCCACGCCACCATTTTTCACAAGGCCTAGGAAGGAGACTAAAAGAGATTCCCTATCAGGAACTCTTGAAAAGAACACTTGTTTCCCAGGATGCGGAGACGCTTTCCAGCTTGGTCACATATACTCAGGCATGCTCTGGCCACACAGAGATGACCATGGAAATAATGTAGCTCAAAGCAACACAGCGCTTTCAGTGGCAGCATATTGATGGGAAATGAACTGGAGACTGAACCACACATGGAAGGTGAGAGACTCCTTACCTGCCCAGCCGTATTCTGCTAAGAGCTACATCCGCCCTCAGAAGCTGTCCATCCCTAGTGGGCCAAACTATGTCCACAGGCCCACCTTACCAAGCCTAAGGGGTTGGCTCCATGGCTCACTGAGAAGTTAAGATCAAATCCCCTTCCCCAGGAAACCTCCCCCAATGTTCCCAATTCTTTCCATTCTCCAAAACTTTCCTCTAATCCCGGTGAAATAGGGGGCTCTATCTTACCTCAATTTCCCAAGCACTTAGCAGGAGGCCTGAAACATATCTAGTGATTGATAAATGTGTGTTGTAAACAATACCTTTCTAACTAGTAGTTCTCTTGTGTGTGTTTTTCTCTCCAACTAGACTATAGTTTCTCAAGGTCAAAGACTATGCCTAATTCACCATGGTATCTAAAAGATCTTGAGGTTCACTGACTTCCAGATGAATACTGGGATCAGGGCAGAGAACAAGCACACTCTCTGTTAACCAAGGGTCAACGTTTGGCAGCAGTCTACAAAGAACTCATGGGGCTCTCCATCCATCTGACATCAGACCCCTTCTACCACACAGTAATCTAGGAGGGAGAAGCTGAAAATTCCTCTGACCTCCTAGAGCCCTCCCCAAGGTAGAGCAGAGGTTTCTGCACTGTGTTGAGGTCAGGAAATAGAAGAATGTGGAATTAGGAGGAAGAAAGCCAAAGAGAGAAAGGGAGATATTTTTACCTTCATGGACAGCATGGATCTCTTACAAGACATCCCTGGGTTACAGAAGAGCCACTGAGCCTCAGGAGACTGGATGGGTCCCTGATCAGACTCAGCAAGTCCTTTTGTAATTTTCAAAGCAATAATATAAATGCAATACAAGCTGGCTAAGCAGATGGTCACAGATGCCCAGAAACCACCTGACCAAGTGATTGTAGGGAGCCAAGATATTCACCTCTGAAAGTGAAGTGGAAGTGACCAATGCTTTTCTTCCGGCCGAGACTAATACCTGATTCTTCTGAGGACCAAAGAGGAAATATTAAAACTGAAAGCCCTTGGCTACCGTCAACAATTGTACACCAGTATCAACTGAGGGAAATAATTTCCTTCCTGACTCCCACTGGGCCAGTCAAGCCTGGAGCAGAAGGTGTGATTATCTAATCAAACAAAGCAAGAGCCAATCGGCTAGACGTAGCTTCTAGGGGATTTTTCAAGCACTGAGACATCCTCAGTCTCCAAATGCACCTCCTTCCACCTCCTGCTGCCTAGAGCAAAAGCAAATGTGAAAAGTAATAATAATACGCAATTTCATTTCAACTTCAACCACCATCGTCAAGCAAATTTCCAGATCTAGCTCCTTTCCAAGATTGAGAACAAATTAGTGTCCATCCAATCCTGGGATGAGGGTGCAGAGTTGGGAGGAAGGACATACTCTGAGCACACACTATGCAAAGGCACGAAGCTGGGGACAGCACCTTACATTGTCTTGTTTTCCTTTATATTCAAGATGAGTCTTTAAAGAAGAAAACAACTGTAATAACCTATCATGCATGGATCATACTTTACAGTTTGAAAAACAAGTGGGCACCTACCAACCCATTTACTCTAAACAAACGTGAGAGTTAGGCAGGGCAGTGATGATAATTCCTAATTATCAGATCAGGGAAATGAGGGCAGAGGGACGTTGTTTTTCTAGGGTTGCACATCTCATAACTGGCAGACCTTCTGATACCCCATCCCACCATACTCACTGCCTTTTTATGCATTCACAAACGTCTTAAGCCATACTGGTCCCTGAAGCCTCTTTCTGTCCAGTCTTTTGTTTTATTCTCATAAAACCATGCAGTCCAGCCTCACCCGTACTAGAATTCCTAAAACTCTCCAAAAGAGAATTGGCTAGTGCCTGATGGAACACCCTCAGGGAAAGAGACACTCACCACCTTTGGATTTATTCTTTCTATCCATGAAAATGCACTGTGCACCTCTTGTGTGCCAGAGATCCCACTAGCTTCTGGGGATACCCACATGACAAGAGATGCTGCCCCTCTTCTGACCAGGTTTTATATTCTTGAATGCCATAACCATGTGTGCCCTGCATCCTGCCTTCTCCAGGGTCTCATTCCCATAACAGTTCCTGGTGGGGCATCATTTCCAGTCCTCTCCATTTCCAGCATCCTCATGTGGAGAGCCCAGCTGCCTAAGGTCTCTTTCCAAGGACGAGGCAAGGACTAAAGTCTGACACTCTAGGGGCACTCTGACAGGAGGGGAGCATAGGGTTATGGTCATCCACCTACCTTTAGTCCTTAGTCCCTCTCCTAACAGCACCTAGATATTCTTCTGAGGGCCTACCTCTTCACTGCGTAGCTGCCGTGAGGTTTCAGTGGGATTATTTCCAAATTCAGAAGAGAGCCCCAATTCATACATGCCAATGAGCACAGTCTCCTCCTTGTGGCATCAGTGTCTGGTGCAGGACACTGGTGCTGTAACCTAAGTCTATGGGGATATGGCACACAATGCTCTCTTCCACCAAATGGGAAGGAGGCAGCCTACAGGCCAGGTTGCAGTGGGCAGCCATCTCATAACCACGAGGTGAAACATCCTGAGGATGAAACCAACACACAGAAGAAGGCAGAGCATGGAACACCTCAGAGAAACAGAGCCAGAGTGCTTCTCAAACTGGGCCCGAAGCCCACCTTACCTCAGGACCTGCCTATTTCCAGCAGGATCCCCCACCCAATTTGTTCTAGATAACGTACTTGCTAGGGGCAAAATGTCCAAGCCCATATTTGAAATTTTAATAAACAAAAATCTTCAAGAGTCAAAGCTGTGGTTTCCAGCCTTTTATCTCATGCAGATCCACAGATGCACAGAAAGTCAGTTGTTCTTTTAAGATAACATTGATTAAGAAAAAAAGGGGTGACAAAATGTAACCATAAACTCAGCCATACTTTTAAATGAAATTAGGTTTTATCGATCACAAAAGCACCTGGTCCATTTTGGAAAACTAACACCACAAACATGGAAGGCATATTGTTTATTCAGTATAAAGCCAGTGCTTGGCGCACATATGGACTGGCCTTCAGGATGAAGACCACAGATCTAGAATTCTAAACGGAAGCCTGTCTCAGAATTCCCCAGCTGTTTTCCTCAGATCTCCCCACAGCCCAGGATAGCCCACACCATTGATTCTTTTCATCACCCCCATTTTTGAGGACATAATGTTCTATTGTACCTGCTAAACACAGAGGAATTTCAAAACACAAAGAAAAGCTTATCTCACCTGGTCACCATTCCCCTTTCTGCCTGTGCAATGGGATTCAAACTCAGATCTCAGTGGAACTCTAGCAGTCTCCTTAACATACAAGCTCACACCCTTTGCCTAAGCAAATTTAGCCTCCCCTACCTCAAAGGTTGCTGTGAAAATAAAATGAGATCACAGAAGAGGAAGCACCTTGCACAGGGATAAACAAGAGCCACTCAGAAATATTACTTTCTTTCCTCGCAAATACCCATTACGCTGTTCATCGACATTCTCATTTTGGTCTTTCAATTTCAAGAACACTTTGCACCATGCCAAAGGAGAGAGAAGGAAGCGATACATTTATTGGCAACCCGAAATCATTGTTACTCCAAGTTTTCTTCCAATATCTCTTGATGCCACCTTCCAAGAGTTGAGTCCTGCCTTTGCTTTGCCACACGTTTTATTAGCATTATTATATTTTGTCCATTGCCAACAAAGTCTACTCAAGAAAAAAAGGAAGAACATTTCAGTTCTTCTCCAGTTCTTAGTCCATCCCAGTTACTAGTCCCCACACTTGTAAGACATGATTTTTAAAACTCATTAAAACATGCACATTGGTCATAAAAGGGAAAGTCTTCTTTTCTGCATAGGACTCACCAATCGAGGAAAAATATCTTCCCTCCAATGAGCACACAACAGAACAATGAAAAGGGCACTAGACTGCGAATCAGGTGACTGGATTCTGTCTTCAGTTCTGTTTCTGAGTCTCAATGTTCCTACCTGTGGAAAATGGGAGAAGGAGGTTGCTTATGAATCTCTAGAATCTTACCAGCTTTAGAAGTTCCCAGATTTATGAACTCACTGGTTAGGCTATCCCGGGAATAATGCCAGACTTGAAACCCACAAATCTAGTAACTTCCTTCTACACTTCCTAAGCCCTCAGTCAGCTCCTGGCACTTCTATTTTACTAAGTAGCCTCAGAATGATGGGGAAAGAGGATGCTGGTACCCCAGTGTTCATATCTCAGCTCTCCTGGGAAAAAAGCTTCATCATAATAGCAGAGGAGAAAGAGATAAATCAGTTAGTTAAATCTTCACATTTCAGCCAAGAAAAAAATTAACAGCAAAATCTGAGCTACAACATATAAAAAGAGACATGGAATATAAGTTTGCAGACAAATTTCTAACTTCTGTGAACCTCAGTTTTCCCACCTGAAAAATAAGAGCCAGTGAACAGCAGAGTTGGACAATCTTGAGACTTCCTGGTACCCCCTCATTACAGCTTTTATTTCATTAAGAGCTATTACCATCTTGCTAAGGACTATGCAATATATATATATACCAAGAGATAGGAATGCCAAGGCAGTGGGCTGTCATAAAATATGTGTTTTGTGTATACAGGAGAAATCCACATGCCAGAAAAACTACAACACCTATTTTCATTTCGTCATTTTAAACATTATTTAACCAATCATACAATTGCTTGTATATTATCTCATTCAGTCTTCAAATACCCATATAAGCTCCAAGTTGGGAGGGACCTTAAAAATGACCCACCTCAACTCTTCCAACCGACAGGAGGAGAAGCTGGAGCCAGAGCAGGGAGATGGCCACTCCAGGAGTCACCACTGGTGGTAGGCAGTCCAGGGCTCCAGTCTAGGGCTTGCTCCAATGTACCCAGAAACGGCCGCTGACACTCGCTGGGGCAGAGGGACTTGCCCTCGGTCACACAATCAGCTTTGGAGCAAACCAAGACTTACACACTGAGAACTCTGAACACCTGCTTCAAAGCTCTCAAAGTATAGCCAATAGTAGAAAGAAATTCAGTTAGGAAAATGGAGAATAATCAAGATGAATCCAGAAAGCAATGAGTTTCCTGAGAGCTAGTGGGTCTCAAGGACATTCAAACTCTCAAAGCCATTCCACTGAAATGAGCGAAAGGCATAATTTCAAACTTGCTGAGGAATGGAGTATTAGAAGGCCAATACTGGACCTGGGGACAGTGTAATCTCATAGAAAACAAAAAGACAGCCCCCAACCCCAAGCCCAGGAAACCTAAGCTTCTCCTTGCAGAAGGAGATATAAATCAGAATAGTTTCAACAACAGTAGCAAAGCGTATCTGACTTCCCAGATTTCTAAACTTCGTTGAAAGACAAACCCCTCCACCTTTGGCCCTGGGGGAATCTCTCATATACTTGCCAGCTTCCCTCTATGCATAAATCAAAGTGGTCTCCCTTTTCCATAGTCAACTTTTCTTTTAATAGTTTTTTTTCTTCTTTTCCATAAAGAGAACAAGCAGCTTTGCTAAAGAACTGATGTGAAATGATTGAAGTTCCCATGCAAACAAACCATTAGCAGAGTTCAAATGCAATTTAAATTACCAGTTGTTAAAGTGCTCCTCAATTTCATGGTAAGTTTCCAAGGAGAATTACATGCTATATACTATTTAATTGGTTGTTTTCTATTTTTTAACATCCATTTATCCCCCCACCACTCTTATATTTCAGAAGTGTCTATAAAAGCTTCCCTTTAAAAAATTATACATTGTTGAATAGATTAAATCTAAAGATTGAAAACTATCAGAGAAACAGCTGCAGGATTACGCAGCTCAGCAGAAATTGATGGTTTTGACACCACAAAACATGCAAAATTTTAAAATCTTTGGAATCACTTTGTAGTGCTCTCACTCTTTACAGATGAAGACACAGGAGGGGTTGCTTCAAAGTCCCCTCACTGGTCAGTGACAGATTCAGGACGAGAATTATGGCTCCTAACTCCCAGTCCCGTGCTACCCCTTCCCACCACCACATTGTTAGAGGAGATGATGGGAAATTCTCAATGAATTTTATTTTCCACCTTTAATTTTTTAAAAGAAAATATGACGTCCTCTTCAAATACACTCCGGATCTCAAAGCAGAGACGGGCAATGGCAAATATCTCCCCAAAAAAGAGAAAAAGATGTAAAGGCTGATGAATGAGTATAGTCAAAGGGGCTCAAAATGAGCAGACTCTTAGCAGTAAAAGTCAAGACACGCTTCTAGATTCATTAAACAAGTTATGGAACATCTAGAACGTTGACTTTCACTGCTTTATCTGGTCCAGAATGAGTGGAGTCAGATGATAAAGTACCAACAAAGTAAAGGCAGGTGTTGTCACATCTGTAAATGGAAAGAATTTCTAGAAGCCATCATGAGTACGAATGAAGTTCAAGGCTTTGACATTGGACTTGTACAAATTATTTAACCTCCCTGAGCTCAAGCTTCTCTGTCTGTAAAACAGGGTTAATACCACCTACCCATCAGGGTGTATGCAATCATTTCCTGGGATACCATATCCAGCATACGCAGCACAGTCTGCCCACAGTATACATTAATTAATGCTTATCCCCCTATCTTCCAAGGTTTCTATAATTTCTCAAAGCCTGTAGTTCTGCGGTTCTAATTTATCTGGACTGTAACTGAGTCTTTTCTTTTTTTTTAAAGACTTTATTTTTCCTTTTTCTCCCAAAGTCCCCCAGTACATAGTTGTGTATTTTTAGTTGTGAGTCCTTCTAGTTGTGGCATATGGGACACTGCCTCAGCATGGCTTGATGAGCGGTGCCATGTCCACGCCCAGGATTCAAACCGGCGAAACCCCGGGGCGCCGAAGCAGAGTGCGCAAACTTAACCACTCGGCCATGGGGCCGGCCCCTATAACTGACTCTTATAAGCCATGTGTGTTCCCTAAGTTTCTTAGATGCTGTTATGTCCCCTGACTATAAATTCAATTATTTTGTCATTCAAAAAATAAAATGAAATAAAACATGTGCATGAAAACTTACACATCCAAGCATTTTTCTTCAAAAGCAAACATTTGAAACCGCTATTTAAAAATGACCTTCACAAATATATTAGTATAAGTAGCAGATCAACCACTTATAAAGCTCGTATGGAGGTCAAAAGACAAAAGAACTAAAATCACCTATATCTACAATAAGAGGTTAAGGGATACACAAAATTAAAAGAGGTAAAATATGATGTCAAAAACATAAACATGGGGGGAGGGGTAGTAAAAATGTAGGGCTTATAGTATGAGGTCAAACTTAAGTGACCATCAACTTACATAGATTGCCATACACATAGGTTGTTATATATGAACCTCATGGTAACCACAAACCAAAAATCCATAATAAAGAGAAAGGAAACCAAACATAACACTAAAGTCATCAAATCACAAGAGAAAAGAGTAAGAGAAGAAAGAAACACATAAGAACTACAAAAACATCCAGAAAAAAGGCAACAAAATGCCAATAAGTACATACTTATAGTTACTTTAGATGTAAATGGACTAAATGCTCCAATAAAAAGATACAGGATGGGGGCTGGCCCAGTGGCATAGCAGTTAAGTCTGCACACTCCACTTCAGCAGCCCAGATTTTGCTGGTTCGGATCCTAGGCACAAACCTACACACTGCTTATCAAGCTATGCTGTGGCAGGTGTCCCACATATAAAATACAGGAAGACGGGCACAGATGTTAGCTCAGGGCCAATCTTCCTCAAAAAAAAAGACATAGGGTGACTGAATGGATAAAAAAAACAAAAGACCTATATGTATGCTGCCTACAAGAGACACACTTTAGATCTAAAGACGCTTATGGACTAAAAGTGAACAGATAGAAAAAGATATTCCGTGCAAATGGAAACAAAAAGAAAGCTGGGGGTAGCAATACTTATATCAGACAAAATAGACTTTAAAAGCAAAAACTGTAACAAGAGACAAAGAGGGGCGTTACCTTTGATAAAGAGAACAATCCAACAAGAGGATATAACACTTGTAAATATCTATGCACCCAACATAGGACCACGTAAATATATAAGGCAAGTATTAGCAGACATAAAATGAGATACTAGCAGTAACATGATAATACTAGGGGATTTAAACACCCCATTTACATCAATGGATAGATCATCCAGACAGAAGATCAATAAGGAAATACTGGCACATTAGACCAGATGGACTGAAGAGATATATACAGAGCACTCCAACCAAAAACACCATAATACACATTCTTTTCAAATGCACATGGAACATTCTCCAGGATAAATCACATTAGGTCACAAACAAGTCTCAATAAATTTAAGAAGACTGAAATAATATCAAGCTAGAAACTAGAAATCAACTACAAGATGAAAACTGGAAAGTCATAAATATATGGAGCTTAAACAAAATACTATTGAACAACTATTGAGTCAACAAAGAAATCAAAGGAGAAATCAAAAGTTACCTGGAGACAAACGAAAATGAAAATACAACATACCAAAATCTATGGGTTACAACAAAAGTGGTACTAAGGGAGAAGTTTTAGCAATATAGGCCTACCACAAAAAACAAGAAAAATTTCAAATAAAGAATGTAAGATTACACCTAAAAGGAACTAGAAAAAGAAGAACAAACAAAGCCCAAAATCAGTAGAAGAAAAGAAATAGTAAAAGTCAGAGTCGAAATAAATGAAATAAGAGACTAAAAAGACAATAGAAAAGATCAGTGAAACTAAGAGCTAGTTCTTCGAAAAGATAAACAAAGTTGACAAACCTTTAGCCAGACTCACTAAGAATAAAGAGAGAAGGTTCAAATAAATGAAATCAGAAATGAAAGAGAAATTACAATGGATACCACAGAAATACAAAGGATTACAAGTGAATAATATGAAAAGCTAAATGCCAACACATTGGATAACTTAGAAAAAATGGATAAATTCTTTTTACTCATACAGCCTTCCAAAACTTAATCAAGAAGAAAC